GTTACTACTTTACTTTTCTTTCTTTTCTCTCTCTCTCTCTCTCTCTCTCTCTCTCGTTTGTTCTTCTTTCTTCTTTTTTTTATTTTTTTAAATTTGTGAGAATAAGAGACAGACAGGGAGAAAGGGAAAAATGGTGGGAGAAATTAGAAACAACAAGTGGTCCGGTAAAATAGAGGGGGAGTGTAAATATTGGAACAACTTTTGACCCGTCTTGCGAAAGTCCATTGTGCTTATTTACGATTAGCTCGTTTTCATTTATAAAAGTACGTATGTATGTATTTCATTTACGTATATATGCATGTATCTCATATCAAAATTTTCGTTTGTTTTTTTTTCTTCTTTTTCTTCTTCTTCTCCTTTTTTTTCTTTTCTTTTTTTTTTTTTTTTCTTTTTTGTTAATTGTTTCTTTTTTCTCTTTGTTCTTTTCTGCTTCTCTTTTACTTTTTTCTTTTTGTTTTCCTTTTCTTTTTGTTTTTTTTTCTTTTTGTTTTTTTTCTTTTTAATAACTTCATTCGGAGAAAAACGGCCTCGTTTGAATTTACTGCCACGTGTCTTTATACATTTGGCAATATATTAAATATTTTCGATTATATTAAATGAAATCCTTGAATGATGACGGAATTAGTTGATTAATTGATAGGAATGACACGTGCCGAGAACTCGTTTGACTACAGGGGAGATGAGTTCACTGTGAGAGAAAGAGAGAAGAGAATATCGTTAATTAAAATGAAGAAGATAACATAAAAAAAAAAAAGAAAAAACAAGAAAAGAGAAAGAAACGTCGTTGGCAAATGTTTCGATAGATATTTAGAAAAAAAAAAAAAAAAAGAAATAAATAAATAAAAAAAATCGTCTAAGATCCGTCGAATTCGTAATAACTTTTATATACGGGTATACGTCGTTGGTATAAAGTAAAAATTTTTCTTACGAATAAAATGAAGGGAATGAAAGAGATAAACGAGACGAGGTTGGAAAGTTTTTATAAAGATTTCGAATTTTCGGCGCCAAATTCAAAATTCAAAATGAAAGGAACGAGATAAAAGAGATGAAGCATCACGATTATTCGAGTTCTTTTCGTGAACCGTCTATTTCGGTCGACAGGAAAGAAGAGTATCTCTCTCTCTCTCTCTCTCTCTCTCGCTCTCTTTTTCTCTTATTTTCTCTCTTTCTCTTGGTAAATCAATGTAGGAAATTTCACACGAAAGAGGAAACTCGCGGGGTTCAGGGCGGTGGCCTCGTTCCTGTCTCCATCAACGTTGTAAGAAGAGATCGTTCTCTCCCTGCCTTCGTAGGAAGCGGAATCGTCGAGTAGTAACGGTCGAGAACTAGAGATCTAGAGAAAGAAAGATAGAAAGAGATAGAAAGGAAGAAGTAGAAAAGTAGGGGAAGCTATACTCTTATCTGGGGCAATGGAACGCAGTCTCCTGTTTTGTTCCTCTTTCGACTCCCCATCGATCGGAGAATCACTCGAACGTTAACAAATATTCTTTTTCCTTTTAATTCAATTAATTTTCTTTTATAATTTTTATAAAGAGAAAAAATAAGTATATATATATATATATATATATATATATATGTTTATTTATTTTAATTAATGATTTATTCATTGAGAAAAAAAATAAAAACAATATGGGTGGGTGTATATCGAATTTGTTGAATTTAACGTTCTTCAATGATAATTAATTTTGTATTTTCCCAAGGACACAACATTTTTCGTTACTACGAGAACTTTAAAGATGGTCGTCGATTGGCGCGCTTTTCTTCGTAGAGAATTTAATTGGTATCATTGCCGTTGTGTCGCTGTAATCGCTTTTTTTTTTTTTTTATCGTTATACTCGCACGAGCGAGAAGATAAAAATAATCTACTGACTAAGATCTAGGTTTTGGCGGGGTTATTATTAGTCACTGTACACTTCTCGCTTCGTTGAACGACAAAAAGAAATGTGCGTTGAGTATGCACCGTAAAACTAAATACACGCGACTTATTATTCTCGGCCGTTTAAACGCATTCTATTTGTTCGCGAAATAGAGTAAGGGAGAAGGAGAAAGAGAGAGAGAGAGAGAGAGAGAAAATGAGAGATAGAGATAAAGACAAAATTATCTTTTCTTAAGCGATAACTCGCTTTCGACGAGAGTCTCGTCCAGGACTGATATATTTATCTGTAACTGGGTTATTTTACAGACCGGCTTTTCGTACGTTGTTAACTTGTTGATGGTCGTTTTAACGGCGACGCTATCGTTCACATAGTTTGAATTTGAATGAGAACGCCTGAAGTACGCGTCCCCATCATTTGTTCCATCTCCGTCTTTCTTCCCCTCCTTTACTTGCTCATTTTCCTCGAGAGAGTCGAGACGATTCTCCTGACATCTACGAAGAATTTGTCGCACTGTATTTACTTGGCCAAGCGCGCTCTTTCCGTTAGCGTTATCATCATCTCCGACAAAAGTATTAACGATTTCTTACAGCGATGTCTATCTCGGATTATTTGAGGTTTTCATTCTTCTCTCAATCCTCGTTGTTTTTTTTAATTAAATTTTTCAACCTTCTTACTTTTTTTTTTTTTTTCTTTATACATATAACCTCTTTCTTCCTTTTTCCTTTCCTTTTTTTTTTTTTTTTTTTTTTTTTTTTTTTAGAACATAAAAAGATTACACATAGAAAATATACTTTGATTTCTTATTCTTTTTTTTTCTTTCTTCTTTCCTTTTTTTCTTTCTTTTTTTTTTGCCCACACACATAAACGATATTGATATCAAACGACGATCGAACGACGATTTATAGCTAAGAATGAGGGCAGCTTACGTTTGGTTAGTAGTTTCTTATTACTTTTTGTTTGTTTTTTTTTTGTTTTCTTTTTTTTTTATTGTTTCTCCGTCTTCTTCAGAAAGATAGAGAAAGAGAGACGTAACAAGAGAGTCCGAGCGGTGGGGATAGGTTTAGGGGTAGGGGGCAAGGCGAGGTGGTGTGTCGTAGGTCAGGGCAGCTGGTCACCGGACTCCGTTCGATTGTCACCGACAGATCGAGTCGAATGGCAGAGAGAAAGAGAAAGATAGAGTGCGTATGAGTGTGTCTCTGTCCTGTGGATATGTATGTATGTATGTGAGGGAGAGAGAGAGAGAGAGAGAGAGAGAGAGAGAGCTCTTCGGGATTTCCCCGACATACCAATTTAGCGAGAACCGATCGACGGACTCGATGGCGTCCGCCTGACCGAGCAATAATTTTCATGGACGTTGTTGTTTCGTCTCGTTCACTCTATTACGATGGATATATATCACGGTATTGGTTCTTTCGTTCTTCCTCGTACTTTCGATCGCAAAATTATGTTTTAAAAAAAAAAATCCGACTAGAAACGTTTCAACTACAAATTAAATTTGATTGTTCATCTTTAAAATGTTTCTTTCAAAATTTCCATTTGATAATGATATCGGATTTTGGGATTTCTCTCTCCCTCTTTTCTTTATTTTTTTTTCTTTTTTCTTTCTTTCTTTTTTTTTTCTTCTTTTTTTTCGACGATAAGAATTTTGTCCGCTTTAAGAGTCTGTCATTGATTGACGTAGAGAATTGCTTGCTTTATTGGACGTATTATTTTATACAGATATACCAATGATATTGATTACAATCGCGTAGATATTTATATATATATATATATATATATATATATATATATATATATACATACGTACTAGTGATCTTCTACATAGAAGTGATTAATTATCGTATTATTACTTTTTACATAATCTGTCTATCCACTAAATTATTATTCCACGAATGAAAGATACGCGATAACAACTAGGTGATAGTTAAGATGTATACAAGTAAATAGATAGATAATACCGAACGATTTGCCACTATCGATAAGACGAAGAAGTCTGCTTGAAGTTGAGATGAACGAAGTCGAGAAACGATTTTGCGCGTAGAAAATAAAAAGAAAGAGTTGCAGAATGAGATGATGAAGGAGTCGGGCAGGGGGTGGGGCCGGGGATGGCGAACGATTGGTAGGGAGCTGCTGCTGCTCGAGTGTACGGTTTTTTAGCGGCAACAGCAGCAACAGCAGAGTAGGCAGAGTTAGTCCGTGTGTCGAATGTAGGAGAATGCGGTGGAGGAGAAGGAGGAGAAGGAGGAGAAGGAGGAGGAGGAGTGCGACGACGACGACGACGACGACGAAGACTACGAAAAAAAAGAAAAAGAGAAAAAGAATGAGCTAGGGGTATAGCGGGGAGAAGAGTGACTATAAACAGAGTACTACTACTTTTACGGCTGTCATGAGAGTCCAGCGCTATTATATCGGTCTTGGGTGCGCGCCTGGCGGTTTCCGCGCGAGGCGGCGTGTCGGTCGAACGTCGACGCTACGACGACTACGACGACTACGACGACGACTACTACGACGTCGACGTCGACGTCGTTGAGCAGGAGGAGGTAGATGAGGATGAGAACGAGGAGGAGTAACAGGAGGTGAAGCGAGAGGGAGCGGGTTGCGCGCGCGGCCATTTTGATAATCTCCCTTCTACCATCGAATACGCGCCTCCCACCACCCTCTCCATCTCTCTCTCTCTCTCTCTCTTTCTCTCGCGCGCGTCCATCCGTCGTCCTCCCCTCTTCGACAATACTCCTCCATCGGTACGTGCTTTTTTCTCTGGTGTGCCTCGAGCGAGCTTTTGCGGCAAAGTGTAGTTGCTGCTGCCGTTGCTGGTGGTAGTCGCTAGTGTCGCGGATTACCCTCCCTCTCTTCGTCTCTCTCTCTCTCTCTCTCTCTCTCTTCTTCCTCGTTCTCTCTTCCTCCCACTCTCGACACGCGGTAGCCTATACTTCTCTCTCTCTCTCTCTCTCTTTCGCTCTCTCCTCTGTCTGTTTCTCTCTCTCCTCCTCCCTGGCCCCTCACCTTCCCTCCTCCGCCTCCAATCGCGTCCTCCTACTCTACCTCTCTTCTCTTCACCTCTCATCCTCCCTCTCCCTATGTACATCGCGCGCGCGCCTCTCCTTTCGACCGGAAGGTGCCAGTTTCTCGTCGACGATCGTCTCGTTCGGAGCAGTGCGCGCGCGCGCGCACGCACCACAAGCGTGCTTCTCTGTCTCTCTCTATCTGTCTCTGCTGTCGTCTGTCCACACACATCTCACTCTCTCTCTCTCTCTCTCTCTCTCTCCCTCTCTTTCTCTCCCTTTCTCTCTCTCTCTCTCTCTCTCTCTCTCTCTGTCTCTCTTTGTTTTTTTTTGTTCCTCCCCATCCTCCCACCCACCGCCCGCCGTGTCTCTCGTCGACGTGTTCGACGACGTCTTTTTTCACGGCTCCTGTGTATATCTCTGCTATTCGCCGTCTCTGCGTCCTCTATTTTTTTTTCCCTATTTTTTTTCCTTCTCCTTCTTCTTCTTCTTCTTCTCCTTCTCCTTCTCCTTCTCCTTCTCCTTCTCTATATGTTTCTTCACGCTCGCTTCTTAATCTCGGTCTCTCTCTTTATTCGTGAATTCGTCTAATCGTACTTATACTACGTAAAAACAAGTATATACGCATATATATATATATATATATATATATATATATATATATAAACGTTTATGTTTTATTCGTTCGCGCGAATAGAAAATAACATCTAGTATATGTGTGTGTATGTGCGCGCGTATTTTCGAAGATAGATGAGGGGTTAATAAGAGAGTGATGATTGTGTG